CCCTGGGCAGGCTGTTCCAGGGCCTGACCATCATCTCAAGAAAGTCATTCTTCCCAATATCTAATCTAAACCTCCCCTGCCCCAACTTCAGACCATTTCCTCTGCTCCTGTCATTATTCCCTTGGGAGAAGAGGCCAACCCCCACCTCTCTACACCCTCCTTTCAGGGAGCTGTAGAGGGCAATGAGGTCTCCCCTCAGCCTCCTCTTCTCCAAACTAAACATGCCCAGTTCCCTCAGCCTCTCCTCGTGTGACTTGTTCTCCAGACCCCTCACCAGCTTGGTGGGTCTCCTCTGGACATGCTTCAGCACCTCAATGTCCTTCTTGTGGTGAGGGGCCCAGAACTGGACACAGCCCTCAAGGTGAGGCCTCACCAGTGCCCAGTCCAGAGGCACCATCACTGCCCTGCTCCTGCTGGCCACACTGGTCCTGATACAGGCCAGGATGGTGTTGGCCTTCTTGGCCACCTGGGCACACTGCTGGCTCCTGTTCAGCCGGCTGTCCACCAACACCCCCAGGTCCTTTTCTGCTGGGCAGCTCCAGCCACTCTGCCCCCAGCCTGTAGTGTTGCCTGGGGTTGTTGTGACTGAAATGCAGGACCCGGCACTTGGCCTTATTGAACCTCATCCCATTGGGCTTGGCCCATCCATCCAACCTGCCCAGGTCCCTCTGTAGAGCCTTCCGACCCTCCAGCAGATCAACACTCCCACCTAGTTTGGTGTCATCTGCAAACTGACTGAGGGTGCACTCAATCCCCTCATCCAGATCATCAATAAAGATATTGAACAAGACTGGCCTCAAAACCGAGCCCTGTCTTTCCAGTATGTCCCTGTCTCTCTTGTACTGAGGAGCCGTACACTGGACCCAGCAACACAGGGGTCACCCCCCATCTCCCCAGCACCGAGCAGGGGGTAAGGGCCCCTCCCTTGACAGGCAATGACCTGCCTTCTGTGGCCACAGCTGCCACAAGGAGCCATGACTGGTGCCTGGACCACCCAACGCCCACCAGCACCTGGGCTTTGGTCCCCTGCTGCCCAGGCTGGGGCAGGGGGTCCCTGCTCATGCCCCCCCGGTGCAACCAAGGGGTTGAGCGATGGACTGCCGTGCCGAGTGCCCCACTATCTCCCGAGGCCACGGTGGCAAGGCCAGAGGTGGGGCCATGCCCAGCAGCGGGTATAAGAGGCGTGGAACCCCAGGCAGGGTCTGTCCAAAGCGGTGACGATGGCTCTGCTGTGGCTGCTGGGTTGCCTGGTGCTGGTGGGCTCTGTCCCTGCCACCCTCGCCGTAGACAGTGCGTGGGGACACGGGGCTCGGCGGGGCGGGCGAGGGGCTGGGGGGGACATGGCAGTGGTGGTGGGGCGTGGAGCTGGGGTGCCCGGAGCCCCCGTCCCACGGCTGCTCGTGCCCCACAGACTGCGGTGTCCCCGCCATCGCGCCTGTCATCCGTGGCTACAACCGCATCGTCAACGGGGAGCCGGCGGTGCCAGGGTCCTGGCCATGGCAGGTCTCCCTCCAGGTGAGTGCCCACCACCCCGTGGGGCTGGGGGGGCGCCGGGGGGGTGGTTCTGGGGCAGGGTGTGGGCACAGAGCACCCCGTGGGGGTGCCGGGTGCTGATGGCAGCTCTTCCCACCAGCGCTACAACAACTTCCACTTCTGCGGTGGGTCCCTGATCAGCGAGAACTGGGTGGTCACTGCTGCCCACTGTGGTGTCAGGTAGGCACGGGCTCTGCCGCCCACCAGCGCAGGGCTGGGCACAGGCACGGGGTCCCCAGGACCCCCCCATGGCTGTGCCCGGTGCTCAGCGCCTGCCTGTGCCCAGGACCACTGACGTCGTGGTGGTGGGTGCCTACGACCAGGAGTCTCCCACCGCTGACCAGCAGAGGCTGAAAATCGAGAAGGTACCGCTGGGGTGGGGGCTGTCTCCCTGTGGGGGCCCACAGCCAGCACGGGGAGTCCCGGGTCCCCCCAATCCTGGGCTTCTGGGTCCCCCTCATCCTGGGCTTCTGGGTCCCCCTTGTCCTCGGGGTTGAGACCCCAGGGGGGCTCTGGTTCCCCTTCCCCTGAGGGTCAGCTCTTCTGGGGTGTCCAGGGTGCCCCACATCCCTGGGCTTGGGTCTCCTGGAGTGTAGTTGCCCCCCTTAGCCCTCAGGTTGGTTCCCCAGGATGTCCCTGCTCCCCAGGAGCCTCAGGGGTTGGGGGGGATGTCAGGAATGCAGGGTCCCCATCAGAGCCTGGGCATGATGTGTCCCTGCCCCCCAGTGCCCCCGGGCTGGGGGCTGCCCTGCGGGACCCTGAGCACCCCCAAAGTGCACCCCTCGGCCAGTGGCAGCCCTGGGTGGGACATGGGCTCCTTGGTGGCTCTGTTGTCCTTCAGCCTGGGCTCTGGTCCCTGCTCCCTGGCACCCATCAATGCCTGGGGTTGTCACCTGCTCCCCGGGGACACCTCAGCTGGGGATTTGGTGTCTGCCCCCGCCCTGGGGTCCCCTCAAGTCCCTCACGGTGTCCCTGGATCGTCCCGATGGCGCAGTGCCCCAGGGGGTGGGCTTTGCCCCCCAGGTCCCATCAGCCCAGGACTTGGGCTCTGCTCCCTGGCTTCCCCATCAGTCCCTGCCCTGTGCCCCAGGGGACGGGACGGGCACCGCGGGGACCCTGTCAGTCTGGGAGCCACAGGGCCATTCCCTGGGTCCCCCCCAAGTCCCTGGGGTGCCCCTGGGTGCCCGTGGAGTCCCCGGTGCCCGGTGCCCTGGCCGAGGGTGCAGGCGCTGGGAGCGGTGCCGCCCGCTCCAGGTCTTCAAGAACCCCAAGTTCAACATGCTGACCATCCGCGACGACATCACCCTCATCAAACTGGCCACCCCAGCCCGCATGTCGGCCCGTGTGTCCCCCGTCTGCCTGCCCCAGTCCACCGATGACTTCCCGGGTGGCATGACCTGTGTCACCACTGGCTGGGGGCTGACTGACCCCAACGGTAACGCACCTTCCTGGCCCCAGCCCCAGCCCCATCCTATCCCCCACCCCACCCTATCCTCTTCCCTCTCCATATCCCCAGCCTCAACCTATCCCCATCCTTCTCCATATCCCCAGCCCCATCCTATCCCCAGCCCCATCCTTCTCCATATTCCCATGGTCATCCCCATCCCAATCCCTGTTCTCATCCCCATCGCCATTCTTGTCCATATCCCCATCCTCACCCCTGTTCTCATCTCTAGCCCTATTCCCATCCCTATCTCCAAAAACCACCCTGCCCCATCCCATCCCTATCTTCATCCCCATTCCCATCCTGTCCCCATCCTCATCATCTCCATCCTCATCCCTGTCCTCATCCCCATCCCCAGCCCAATCCTCCAGCCCAATCCTCATCCCCAAATCCCATCCTAATCCCCATCCCCATCCATGTCCCCATCCTTGTCACCAGCCCCATCCCCATCCCCGTCCCTGTTCCCATCACTGTCCCCATTTGCATTCCCATTCCCATCCTTGTTGCTGTCCCCATCACTGTCCCCATCCTTGTTGCTGTCCCCATTCCTATCCCCATCCCAATACCTGTCCCTGTCCCCGTTCCCATCCCTGTCCCCATTTGCATTCCCATCCCCATCCTTGTTGCTGTCCCCATCCCTGCCCCCGTCCCCATGCCCATCCCTCTCCCCATCCCCGTCCCCATCCCTGTCCCCTCTCTGACCGTGCCCTGCCCGCAGCCTCGGGCACGCCGGCGGTGCTGCAGCAGGCGGCCCTGCCCCTGCTCACCAACACGCAGTGCAAGCAGTACTGGGGGTTCCGCATCGCTGACGTGATGATCTGCGCCGGCGCCGACGGTGCCTCCTCCTGCATGGTAGGTGCCCCCGCGCCCCCCCGCACCCCAGACCCTCCCCTAGACCCCCCGCGTCCCCTCCCCTGGCCTCACCCGCTGCCCGCAGGGCGACTCCGGCGGCCCGCTGGTGGGCCCGAA